CAAAGTTGTTATATTTTTTATATAATAGATTTATATGTATATAATTATGTGTATATGTAAATGTATGTGAACTTAAGGTATCCAGGGGTGTGTTATAATTAAATAAGTCAACAATAATATAATCGGTTCACTTATTATTAGTTTAGATTTTTTAAACTTAATTTTTTCCTTTTTTTTGTAAATATAAAAATGAAAAATAACAATTTGGTTATTTGTTTAAAGATTTTTTAAAAAATTATTTGGGTAAAATTTTGGTAAAAATATTATATAAATTTATTTAATAAAATTAATTTTTTTCTTCAGAAAATTTTTGCAAGTTGATTAATAAGGTTTAATATACTTTCTCCCTTTTGTAAAATGTGGAAAAGAATGTTAGATTCATATTAGCAAAAAAAAAACGAAATGGCCGTTCAAAATTATACCGTTATCTAAAATACATTTTTTCCAAATGTTTGATATCGTTTTTCTTTAAGACCGCCGTTTTGTATATTATTCAATATAATAAATGATATACGATGTTCTTGTTTGCTTTCTTAATTACGAATAAAAGTCTAAAATTTTAGCAGTTTCTAGATACTAATAAATAGTCCACTTCAATTGAAGAAAATTTAATTGCACCTCCACACCTTCTCAAATTATCGCCCCACGGAATTTGTAAATTTTAAATTTTGGACCTTATTCGATCAAAATGATCCAAGCTTTTCCAAATTTCTATAAATGCAGAAAGCTAACGGTAAATGCCATATCATTAAAAAATATAATTATTTTTCTTAACTCACTCAATTAACCCTTAAATTCGAGTATTATGTTAACATCTAATTTTTTTTTTTTGCCAAATCCTAAATGTATGCAATCTTTGAAATATTTTCCTATATAAATGAAAGTTATTTTAATAATGTAGTTGGTACATTGTTTTTAAAAGCAATATTTGACTTTTTAGAGGGAAAAGTGATACATTACAAACTATTGGCTTGACCCTACTTCATTTACTATTTAAGCGTATTCCAGTGCTGCAAGACAATCATACCAATTGCATAATCTATCTTTATTTTGTTTTTTAGTTTTTATTTATATGAAAATGTGTAGAATTGTAAATAGTATGCAAAACCGACTCAATTCTAGCATATCAATTTATATATATATATATATGTATGTAAACATATCATATCTGATGGAACATGTTAGTTTAAGGTTTATGTATGTATACTTTTAAAGATATTCATTTTTATATAAATGTTTGTATAAATGTGTAGATATGAATATTTGAAAGTCATGATAAAGTATTAAGAAGACAAAGAAGTATGTACTTGCATTACATATATAAATATATATATATATATATATATATATATAGATAAATAGAAATAAAATAAAGACCTAAAATGCGAAAGAAGTTAAAATGATGATTGAGATTTTTAACATAATATTCGTAAATATGTATGCATGTAAGTATCTAAAATATTTTAAAGTACCTTTAAAGTTAAAGAAAGGTGTACCTTTTTTATTTATAGATCCTCTTGAAAATACCACAGGGTTTATTTTTTTTTTTTTTTTTGTTTTTGGTTTCTTTTCAACTTAAGTGTATTACAAAAATGAAATAAATATAAAAAATATGCAAGAATCCAATCGTTTATTAATATGTAAGTATTTATTATGTATATATATATATGCATATATAAATGCATTTTATTGATTTTACACGATATGTTACAAGTCAACTTGAGTACATTTACATATATATCTATTTATATACTTACATAAAAAATATTATAATAATTATAAGTACATTATTATATTATATCTATATTATATTGTAAGTATGTATGAAAATACCACACGCTATATAAAATTTAACAAGTTGATCGCTATATTTTTACTCTTCTTTTTGAAGACGATCCATGATATTGAGAATGTTCTTTGTTTTTTAAGCACTATACATGCTTCTGAGTACATCATAGATTATTCAAAATTTTTTATTAAATTATTTGAACTTTTATTGTGATATTTTTATGTTATACTTTAAAGATTTCAATTATATATAATATGAAAAGTTGAAATTGATTACTGTAATATTGAAAAGATATTGAAAATTTAAAAATTGTAAAAACATTATTTTATATAGTATTAAAGTATTAACAGATACAATAATTTATTTCTCAATTACTAAGAGTAATTGACTATCAATATCAAAAATTTCTCAATTACTAAGAGTAAGAATAAAAACTTTTAAAGGTGGAAGGGGAGGGAGAAAGGGAGAAAATAAGAAATCATGTCTTAGAAATAATATAAGATCAAAAATTTTCAGAAAATTAGAAACGGATGGGGGGTGGTCAAAATAAATTTATTTTAGTATTCATAATTTTAGATAATGGGTATGCAATATTTTTTAATAATGGGTATGCAATAATGATTTTTTTTCCATACATTTGAAACTACATAATAGCTAGCGATATATTAATGAGAAATGCTTAATTAACAGTATATTATATGTTGTATACAGGTACGTTGTTTTTAAATTAACAAACTTTTAAATTATCACAAACTATATCAGAGAAACTCAACAAGCCCAATTTATTATTTGTTTCTCTTCAAATTCACAATTTTTTTAAATTTTTAAAAAGTTATAAATTTTTAAAAGTTATTGAAAATATTCCTATTTTCCTGCTTTTATCTCCTGATATGTCTAGTTTACCTTATAAATATTTCAATGAAACAAAGTAACCAATTTTCTGATATGTCAATTAAAATTTCTGCCTTAGCAGGCAACGTATCTTATATTGCAATTTTAAATCTGACATTAATAATTTTTGAAGTTAACAGTTTTTAATATATAGTTAATTTTTTATCGAATAATCCCAAAAAACTTTCGGGATTTCTAAGAATTACTAAAATATTTGTAAAATTTGTATGTCGACTAATGAGAAACAATATAGTTTTAGCCTTTATTACATAAAGATGTTACAATAATTGTTAGAAGCACTTTAATAAATATCAAGAATTCGCTGTATAATAAATAATTTAATTATACTCTAATCTGTTATACATTATTAAGTATTAACTCTCGTACTTTCGTATTTAATTATAAATATTAATTAAAACTACATAAGTATATTATGTAATTCAGCTGAGTTTTCGAAACTTACAGAAATTTATAAAATTTCTTTTTTAAAAAAAAATTTTAACAAATTTTACTGCTTATACTCCTATGAAAAAAAGGTCCTACTTATAGTCTAATAATTTAAATTTTCAGTAAAAATGTCAAGGTACATTTGGCTGCAGTCAAAAAAGAAAAAAAAAGCAAAACTAAAACAAAATATGCATATCATACAACTATAAGAGAAATAACAATAACAAGAAAAAAAAAGTAAAAAAAATACAAAAAATTATTCAAAAATTTAAATATTTGCACACCAAACATAATAATGGTTATATTTTATGGTTGTTATTTTTATTTTTTTATTAAACATAACTTTAAAACTAGTTTTGAGTTTTTTTTTTTTGAAATGTGCAATAGTATTTGTGTAAAAGATATTAATCTATATAAACTGCATTTTCGTTTTTTGAAAATTTGTTAACGTATTTGTGATGACGTTTCATCTAAAATTAAGTTACCTAAACTCTACACCATTCAATAGAATTTCATTCAAGCACTTGAAAGGACAATTTCCAAAGGTTTGGACATTTTGTATTTTACTCTCGTAATTTGATATTTTGTAAAATTTCTGTTATGACGGTAGGTTATAAATTAATTTTCGAACAGATAAAAAACAGATTTTGTTTTGAATATAAATAAAATATTGGAATATAATAAGTGTTTTCCAAGCAAGTTAGATGTCAATGGAGTTTATATAATTTTATTATATAAACTGCAATAAATATATTACCTTAAGTACCAGTATATGTATCAATATTTTTCCCAAAATTTTTTAACAAAATTATTGTTTAATCTTCTCTTTATTCTCATAATGTCCAATCCTTATAATTATATTATTTATTTTCACGTAACCATAATAATAATAATAAAAAAATATTTATAACACTAAGCTTAACATACACATATTATAAAAAAAAATTAAAATTTAAAAAAAAAACGAAATAAAAATGCAAATTTCCCCTTTTTCTTTTTGATTTTTAAACACGGTAGCACTATTATTTATGATTTTCGGGCTATTTCTGTGTTAGTTAATAAACGTATCTATATATTGAAGTGTTAAATATCCTCTCTAAAGCCGAGTTTCAATACAACTACAAAGAATATTTCAAACACATATATTATTTAATGTATATGAATGTGTAATTTAAAAATCATTTTTTATTTTCAAATTTCAATCTCAATTTTGATATACAAACGTATTTTACGTGATTGTATTTGTGTATTTTGCTTTAATACATTATTGTATTTTTATTGAATTAAAAATTTAATTACGAATTAGTTTTTTTTTTTAATAAATTAATTATTTATTATAAATTAAATGATTAATAATATTAAGTTTAATTCATGATTTTATTTAATTACTTTTATATTTTTATTTAAATTTAAATTATTAAAAAAATAAAATTAAAGAGGGGAGAAATTTAACATAATTACTACACATGTACAGCTTACGTTTCTAATGTAGAAGTATAGGTTTTGGTTTAAAACTTATTTTAAAACTTTAATAAAAAATATTGAGAAATAAAGGATTGTTAGTGTATTATTGCACACATTCATGTATGTATACAATATTTAAGAAATGAGTATTCAACAATATCATAATGATGTACACAATAAGTATATTGTATAAAAATAATACAAATGTACTCGTAATAATAACTGCATAAATAATTTTTTATGTAGTTGTGAATTTATTGAGAATTCTAGATTTTTTTTTTGTTTAATTTGTTGATATTTTATATTATGAGTATGTTTTCTTATGTTTCAAAAATTACAAAAAAAAAAAAAACAAAAAAAAAAAATTAAATAAACAAAATCCGTTTGAGCCTCAAATAACACCCTGTGTTATACTGTAACAGTAGTAACGAATTTGTAATCGAACTGTGCGCTTCGTGGTTTGACGGTGGCAAACCGATGCGTCGCTGTTTTTAATATTAGAAAATTTAGCAAAAAAAAAAAATTAATTAAAAGTAAAAAAAAAAGCAATTTGAACCTGAAAAGAAGAAAATAAATAAATTTTTATATATTATATTTTTAATTAAAAAAAATAAAATCATATTTAAAGTATACATTTTATAGAATGTATAATAATTTTTTATTTTCATAAATATTTTAAAAATTAACAATTATAATATTATATACAGAAGAGAAGAGATAATACAACATAAAGTAATAATTTTTATTTTAAATATTAAAAGAAAATTTTATAAAAAAATTTCAAGAACTTAATTATATTTTATACACACCTATACATATAGATATATATACATATATATATGCATCAAAATTTATACTAACTATACATTCATATTTGTCTATATATACATATATGTATACGTATAGATTTCATATATGTATGCATATATATCAAAACGTATAATAGACTTGTAGAGTGTCAACATAATAATATTTTACAACAATCTTTAGATTTTGGAGACTTTTTTATAATTTTTTATTCTTATAGTTATTAAATTTATTAGTTAAGTGTAATATGCTACAAGTAGTAATTACACATTACCGTTTAAAGTTTTGTTCTTTTTTTTAATAAACTTTAAAAAAAACTAAACTAATATACATACATACATCATATATTATACATTTCTATGTTAGTATATTATATATTTAATAGCCTTGTTCAGTTTTGCAGGGAAAAATATAATAGCGATAACTGTATATAAGTATATGTAACTGCTATTTATCAATTATTATCGTGTGATAAAAGTAACACTTATTAAAAAAAAAAACAAAACAAACATATAGTTAAAGAAATAGTTAAAAGAAACATGTTATAATTTTTTTGATAAAGAAAATTTAGTGTACAATTTTTTAATTTTATATATACATGTACACAATTATAATATATAAGTATATTTGAACCATATGCATATGCAATTACAGAGAAATAAATTAAAAAATATAGGTAGAAGAAATATAAAAAAAAATAAAAAAAATAAGGAAAATTTCTGTGTCAAGTGAAATTTGAGAAATTAATATACATAAGTATATATTTATTATACAAGTATATATCATTAATGATTAGATGTAGAAGAACAGAGAGAAAAACAAAACGAAACAAATTTTGAAAATTGTTAAATAAATAATAAAATAAAAATCAAATGATAAATAATCAAAAAAATAAAGAAAAAAAACACGATATAAATTGCAAGCGTATGCATACATATTTTACATATTGTTATACGTTTGTATAACAAAATTTTTTTTTTTTTGAAAATTGTATTTTATATAAGATAATTAATAAATATCACATTAAAATTTTTGAAAATTCAAATTAATTATTAACGGGATTAATTGAAGGTTAAATGAAAGATGTGGGCTATGTATATTAATTATACAATAAATTTTTGATTTCTTTAATGATCTACATTCTATATATTTATTCTAGTTATGAGTTGACGATAAAATTTTTGTTTTTTTTTTTAAATGTTAAATTAGGCAGATACCTATACCCACTTTGTTGAAATTTAACAATTGTTTTACAAAATTTAACAGATCAGAAAAGATTTAAAAGGATCATTAAAAAATTTCTGTAATATTAATTTATTATAAAATTTACTTATTTTTTATAGTATTAATACTTTCCTTAATAATGTTTTTGTTTATGTAAGTTTTATGTGTTAGCCTTCAGATTACATACGTAAGTCAAAATTCGATTTTGATAATATCGATAAGTATTTGAATACCTTTTATATATAAGTACATTCTCTTTATTATAAGTACACACATACAAATATGTATATTCTGGTTTTAATAAGAGTTAACATATTCTGATTAATATCATGATCTAAATTCTTATCGCTTTATCTTTAATTATTCACTTATAAGTATATAAAAGAAAACTGAATTAAAATTTGCCTCAAATTAAATAATACAATTTTACATTTAATTATTATACCTCCATATAATAAGATCTGAGCTCTGCATTGTTTATTAAAATCAAAAAATATGACATAAATACTCGCTGGTTTGGTTTTCTTGAAAACTTATTCCATTTCTTATGTTTTTTTATATTTTTCATTGCAAAGTGTGATTTAAATAGGTAGTATATGTTAACAATTTATATAATTTATATAACACATTTTATATAATTGCATTTTATAAACTGAAGCAGGTCCCTAACATTAATACTATATATTTAAGTCAGCATTGTTTCAAAAGCTTAAATTTACTTATTACGTTATTTTCTTATTATACGATTTATTATCAATATTGTATTACAAATCATTTTTTCCACTATCAATTACATTTAATGCAATATAACAATTGAATTTAATCTGTAATTTTAGTTTTCGCAATATAGTCAATCATTGCAAATATTAAGTAATAACGTCAATGTATGTGATTATACACATGTGATTATATTATATGTATGTGATTATACATTCAGTTATATTACATACCATTGAAAGTTTAAGACTTTTATACTCGTGGGATTAATCTAAATAATATCTTGTAAAAAACATTATAACTATTAACTGACTATACAAAATAGTGATTGAATAATTAAGATCTAAAATAAAATATTAATTACGATCTTACTTGATCGTAACTTGAACTAACTTTGTAATTGTTTAAACTTAAAACTATTTAGACTTTAACTAGTAGTGACTGTATAATTAAGATCTAAAATAAAAAATTAATTACGATCTTACATGATCGTAACTTGAAATAACTTTGTAATTGTAATTGTTTAGGCTTAATCTTTTAAATTAAGTGTGATATTTATGATTTTTTTCTAATTTAATGATTTTTTTAATTTATAGGTATTCTAAAGTGGATTTCTAATAATAAATAAAAAAAAAAGTTGTGACTTGACAATAGTTCAAAATATAAAATTATGAAAGCACATTTATACTAGTGAAATAAAAATATTAATTTAAAATAAATAATAAAACGAAATTAAGTATAAAAATATTTATATACATATATATGTATATAACAAACGATAGATTTCAAAAATAATTTATTATAATAAAATAAAAATAAAGAAGGAAAAATTTTTTATAAAAAAGTGAAATTTTTTAAATAAACAACGTAATAATAAAATTTTTTCTTATCTTAAGAAGAAGAAAAGATATAAAAGGACAATTTTATACATATAGAAATTTTGTGGAGAAATTTTAAATAATTTAATAATATTAAATTTATATTTAAATTTTTTTGATTGAAAACAAAAAAGTATAAACTAATTCAAAATGTTTGATGTATTCGGCTCCGTTAAGGGGCTCCTGAAAATCGATCAAGTATGCATCGATAATAATTTATTTCGAATGCATTATAAAGCTACTGTCATTATATTGATAGCATTTTCATTATTGGTAACATCAAGACAATATATTGGCGATCCAATTGATTGTATTGTTGATGAGATACCATTACAAGTAATGGATACATATTGCTGGATTTATTCAACATTTACAGTACCAGAACGTTTAACTGGAATAACTGGACATGAAGTTGTACAACCGGGTGTTGGTAGTCATGTTGAAGGACAAGATGAAGTTAAATATCATAAATATTATCAATGGGTTTGTTTTGTATTATTCTTTCAAGCAATATTATTTTATATACCACGTTATTTATGGAAATCATGGGAAGGTGGTCGTATTAAAATGTTAGTATTAGATTTGAATAGTCCAATTGTAAATGATGAATCGAAAAATGAACGTAAAAAAATTTTAGTTGATTATTTTAAAGATAATTTACATCGTCATAATTTTTATGCATTCCGTTTTTTCATATGTGAAGTATTAAATTTCATTAATGTTATTGGTCAAATATATTTTGTTGATTATTTTTTGGATGGTGAATTTTCAACATATGGTAGCGATGTATTAAAATTTACTGAAATGGAACCAGATGAGCGTATTGATCCAATGGCAAGAGTATTTCCTAAAGTTACAAAATGTACGTTCCATAAATATGGTCCATCTGGTTCTGTACAGAAATTTGATGGTTTATGTGTATTACCATTGAATATCGTAAATGAAAAAATTTATGTATTCTTATGGTTTTGGTTTATAATATTAAGTGTATTCTCTGGTTTATCATTATTATATCGTATTGCTGTTGTTGCTGGACCTAAAATTCGTGTATTATTATTAAGAACAAGATCAAAATTATCAGAACAATCAGATATTGAAAATGTTGCAAGTAAATGTAAAATAGGTGATTGGTTCGTTTTATATCAATTAAGTAAAAATATTGATCCATTAATATATAAAGAAATTATATCAGATTTAGCAGCAAAATTTGATGGTAAAGATGTTGTTTGATTAAATTAATATGCAAAAAGGAAAACAAATTATATAATTACATGAAAAGAAAATAATCTAATACATTATATCATTATATAAATATGTACCTATTATGTATTTTTCTACTATATATAAATAATTCTTAAATTAAATTTTAATATTCCCGGAAATTCCTTCAGAAATATTTTAGATAAAAAAAAATTTTAATTTATCTTGTTTTATTATTTAAAAAAATTTCCTTTTCGATTAAGCTTTTAATTTTATTTTTTTTAATTAATATTCAAAATAAATTCAATTACATTAAAATAATAAAATAACTACTTAATTAAATATTTTTTTCATACAAAAATTGCATAGTCACTTAGAGAAGAAGTATTATGAAAAATGTTAAAAATAACTTTTCAAAATATAAACAACGAATTTAATTTTTTTTATTTATTATTTTCACATAAATTTTATTAACTCAAAATATTATTAGAGAAATTTTTGGCATTTCATATTCTAACTTCATAATTATTTGAATGTTAAAATTTTTATTTAAATATTTTAAATTAACATTGTTGTAACTATTATTGATGCATTTCGATCTTGACTCTATTTAACATATTAAAATAATAAAACTCAAGTTTAAATTGACATTAAAAAAGAATTAAAATGAATAAAACATTAAGAATATTTTCAATATTCTATTGTGTGATCTCTAAATTGCAAGTAAAATACAAACATTGCAAGCTTTTATGATTCAAGTTGAGAAAATTTCATTTTTGACATACGTAATTAATTTATTTAAAATTTTGACAGCTGTCATGTATAATTCATATATGGCAATCATTATGTAAATTGCATCACTAAAATAAAAATTGTTCGAACAGCTAACAAAATCTTATTGTAGGTAATCAAAATTGTTTAAAATTAAACAGGAATAATTTGCTTAGGAATTTTTTTAAAAGAGGGATGAATTACATACATATGTCAATGTATGTATGTATGTATATAAATGCATGTGTTCTTAAAATGGCATTTATTTGTTTCCCAAATAAATTTTATTATTTATTTGTTTGTTTTTCAAAATTTATTTTACCGATGTTTAAGAACATTTTTAGAACATGCAATGACAAAAGAATGGATATGGCTCTCTTTTACAACAAATACTTAAATAATATAAGAATATGCATGAGTATTTGTTGTAAAGGGAATAATATATAATGTTCGTTTAATAAACTCGTTTGACAGCTTTTTTCTTTATTCGTTTACATCTGGTGTTACGTAGTAAACGTTATGTTATTGTTGGTATATTTCGCTATTCACATTTTATAATAAGTATATACCATTGATAGAAACTTCGTCCATTGATTTATACTTTGAGTACATACAAACATTCATATAAAAAATACAAGAATGACTTTTTGTTTTTTGTTTTTATATATGAATCAAGAAATAAACATTAAAATTTTCTTTCGTTTATATTATAGCTATTCTTACGTTTTAAAATAATTTTATCTCCATATATGAAACATAATGTTATAACAACTAGAAGAAGTACAAAAAAATATATCAGATGAGATTTTATTTTTCTATATATACATTTCTATATATGTATGTATAATAGCTACGTAAAAATGAATGTGTATAAGTGTTGTAACTTCATTTAAAAGAAATACCGACATTCATTTTTGTTCTTTTATTTTTGTATATCTTAATAAAATATTATGCTTATGTTTATAAAGTGATTTGTAACATAACAGTTATAGTTTCATATATCTGACAGATAGACATATGATTGTGTGCGAAATATATTTTGTATCCATTTAATATTATTAATAATAATGATTGACTTTCAGTATTACATACATCCATACATATATATTTTGTTTTTTCCCTTACGACAAAGAGACTTGATTTCCAAATCAAGCATATCACATGTATACCAATGGTAGCATTTCATGAATACATACTTATAGGGATTTCACAAAAAAATAATAAATACTTCATATATTGAATGTTTTCGAAAAAAAAAAAAAAATCGAAATGAATGTTGAGTTTGTGTCATTCATGTGCATAGGCTTGGTTGTAAAGTTTTTTCTTATATCGAAAGATAATTGAATATATTATTAGCTTAGGTGTAATACATAGTTCAACATTATGAAGTGAAACAATATATAGTATGTATAATTAATCAAATTCCCCTTGTTCAAATTCTTTTTAATTTGAACTCACCCCTAAATTGACCATATTTTTATTAACTTAACATTGAATAAATATTTGAAAACGTATCTCATATTCGAACATTCCTTATTTCGAAGTTATTTCTGAAAATTAAAATTCTTCGAATTTAAATCGAAGTTTTACTGTACTACTGAATAAAGATTTATGGTTGATATGAATAAAAGTCGTCTGCACATTGTTGTCGTAAGATTTCTTTAATATTTTAGTAAAAAATACAAGTATTAAAGAAATTTTTTCCATAAATTTTTTAAACAATATAAAATAAATAATTTCAAAATATATATATACCATAGCAAATAGTTATGATACCATTCAAAAATATATGCCATTTTCAAATTCATCACGACGTATTCATGCACATGCTCATAGATTTTAGAAATTTTATCTAGAATTTTCATATGTGTATATATATAGAATTTTTATATGTCAATAATTTTCATGGTCAACAATATGAAGATTATGATCATTACGAGTATTATAGTTGTATGAGGATTATGATTACATTAAGTATAATATGTAGAACACCATATACACAAAAGTACAATTTCAAATAAATTGAATTTTTATTTCATATTTTTTGTTGTTTTTAGTTTTTGAGCTTGTTTTTAAATTGATATAAAAAAAATAATAAATAGTAATAATAGTTTTATTATTATTTTATTATTATTGTTTTGAACACGTTTTTCTTATTAGCTTATATTCACGATTACGTAAAATCCTTATTTTGCATTTTTTGAAATTAACCTTCATAAATATTATAAATATCAAATTTATTAAAATATAAAATGCATTTAACTCGAAAATATTATTTTTATAAAATAAAAATAATTGAGCGGGTTTGTTAATAAAAACTCATATATTTATAATTTCTATATATATATCGATTTAAATAAATCACTAATTTATATTTAAAACTTATTATTTGAACTACTTATTGTATAGTATAATTGATGTTTTTTTACTATATAAATATAATATTATATATAAACATAGATAAATATCTCATGTAAGACTGCACCTTACTCTTTGGATGCCAGTGATTGCCAGCCCTATAAAACTCAAATCAAATATCTTCAGGTTATTATATGTATATATATAATAATAATAGAAAATATTTCAAATTGTAATAATTTTGATATTTAGAAGTATAATTAATAAATCGATTTCATATGGTTTTTACCGAAAAAAGAAAAATGATGTGGCTATGCATTTTAAATTAAATAAAAAATTATTAACTTCATTAACTGATGAAAAATTTCCCATACTTCGCAAAACTAATACAAAATTTAATATTTTAATAAAATAAATTTTAAATAGAAATTCTTTTAAATAGAAAATCAAAATGATTCTTTTGTTTTTTAAATTTAATATGAAAAAATTTTTAATATACAAGCAAACATTTAACAATAATTAATATATACTATAAAGCGTAAGAAATCAATTATAGTTTTGAAATTTATAAAGTTAAAGAAATTATTTAACATTTACAGTTTCTTTTCTTATTTTAGAATTATTTTTTATTTTTGACTAATATTTTTTTTTTTCAAAAATAAAATTAAGACTATAAAAATAAATAATCAAATTTTAGTACAAAAAATATTATATAACATGTAAAAAAGGCATATAACTAGGCGCACAAAAGACAATTTTTTAAAAACTAATTCTAATTTTAAGATTTAAATATAAATAATTAATTGCTATAAGGATGTGAAATGAAAAGTACAAAAGTAATAAAAAAATAAAAATTGTAAATAAAATAAATTTTAATTAATTTTCAGTATTCTTTCTTATGCATTTTCCGACAGCATATTTTATGGTTTTGTTCGAACAGTTTTTGATTAATATTTTATATATTTTTTTAAATCAATTGTATAAAAGAATTTCATTTTTGAAATGTTATTTTAAAAGAATTTTTAATAACGTAGAAAAAAAAAAATATTAAATTTTGTAAAATTTCCGGTTAAAGCAATTTTCTATAAAGTTTATAATTTTTACTAATTATTCTATGTGTTATACATGTATATTAAAATTGCGTATACTTTGTATATAAAAGCTAAAATATTATCAACAGAGTATAAGATTTTGAAAACATAATTAAGAGAAGTAGTTAATTTAGTTCTCATTTCTATGATAGAATTTAGTTTTGTATACGAAAAAAAATTGCATATATCGTGGCGTTTTGGTAGAAAAAAATTAAAAATTACTAAAATAAAGAAAAATTCATTTATTATAAGTAATATTTTTTCTTTCACTATCGAATTTTTTGAATTATCCATTACAATATAAAAGAAAATAAATATCCAAATAATATTTAAAAGTTGTTCGTGTTAGAAATTACGTTACTTATATTTTCGTATATAAAACAAATAAATTTGAATTTTGTCATTCATTCATAATTTTTGTTTCATAATTTTATTGCATATTAATTTAATTAAAATTATGATAAATTTACGATATATGAACCGCATGCTGAATTCTTTATAAAAATATGTAAGTAAGCAAGCAATGTATATTTTTTGGCCAATCATTTTATAATGCAATATCACTATACTTATAACAATAAACTGGAGTTTATAAAACAATGGAATCATAAGAATGTATTGAATTATAAAAAAATTCCTAAAAATTTTTTAATATTGCCGAAATTTTTAAAATCATTTTGTGTATATGAATTAATATCAAATGTAATTTTAACATTAAAGATGAAAAGAGAAAATTACATTTAGAATACAATAATTTAAAACTTATTCATTTTAATTGGTTATATTTAACTATATGTTTTAAAATGCAGTCACCTCCAATTAATTTCAACTATTTTTAATACATTTTAATTTTTTTTAAAACTATATTTTAATTATTTATAAATGTTATATACGAATACAGTTTACCTACAACACATTTTAAATTTAAAATTTATTTAATATTTTGAAAGCATGTGATTAATACCTTAAAACAATTATAAATTACAAAATTTAGTAAAAGTATATTATAAAAATCCGAAAATATTTTCAAATGTTTGTTCTCTATTACAAATTTGCGAAACTAAGATATTGGAAATTTTTATTGAACATATAAAGTGAGTAAATATACCTGTAGAGTAAACAATATTTTGATAGAACAAATTTTCGAATTAAATTTAAAAATAAAATTTTTGTTACAAATATTAGAATGCAAAATGCAAAAGTTTTAAAAAAATAATTTTCAAATAATTAAATATCATTTTTTTACACTACTTGCATGAAATGTGTACTC